GCTGGAGTGATGGAACCAGCATGGGGTTCCAAATGGTTGGATGTGGGGGAGATGGGAGGGGCAGTCCCCACCTGTGCTTTTCTTAAATAGCCTCCCTTTGCTTGCCCCGTCCTGAGCACCTATCTAAATGGGCTCTCAGCTATTATTCTCCTTATTTGGTGGCTTCATAGCAATGCCCATGATTGGTGATGAGTAATTGGTTAGTGGATTTGCTGCTCCCACCGGGCTGGCACATTCCCTCTTCTGCTCACCCTTGTCTCCGCAGGGCCTGGTGCACGGCCTGGCTGGGGCTGGGCCCTAGGTATCTGCCGGGTGGATAACTGGATGAATGGTGATTACAAAGGGTGGATGAACCTTTTTAAAATGCAGATACACAAGGCGCCTGGGTGGCTCAGTCGGTTAAGTGTCTGACTCTTGATTTCGGCTCAGGTCATGATCTCGGGGTCATGAGATTGAGCCCCACTTCAGGCTCCACGCTCGGCAGGGAGTCTGCTGGAGATTCTCTCTCCCTCTCCCTGTACCCCTCCCCCCATGTGCCCTCTCTCTCTCACATAGATAAACCTTTAAAAATAAAATAAAATAAAAAATAAGGAATAAACAGGGACACAGATGAAAAGGAAGGGGAGAGGTACAGTGTGTCTGGGGTGGGGTGAGCCGCCCATGTGGGGACCGCCTGCAAATAGCAGGAAAATAGAGAGGGGAGCTGCTTACAGGTCAGAGCTCAGCAATGAAGCAACTTTTTCCTCTTTGCCTCTCAGACTGAGTTTTCTCAACAAGTTCCTTGCTTCTTTTCCTAAAACATAAGTTAAAACCTGTAAAGAATGTGAAAACACTGCCACCCAAATGTTCACTCTTCCTAAAATTTGTTGTGTATTTTCCCAGTTGTAGGCCTCTACACCTGGGGTTCTTCTCCCTAAAATTTTCTTGCCTGTGGGCTGGAAAAATGCCTGTCTATCTATCTCACACAAATAACAGACAAATAGACTTATAGGAAAATTCAAACATAGAAATATGTGTAGCAAAAGGTGAAAGAGACCTTGCCCTTAATTCTACTTCCCATAGTAAACAGCTTGATATTATATATCCACCACTTTTTAAAGATGAATTTTTATATACAAACAAATAAAAATAGGCAGTTTAATTTCTTTTTCTGAGAGAACGAGAGCTCACGCGAATGGAGTTGGGAGGGTGAGGGGGGAAGGGCAGAGGTGGGGGAGAGAGAATCTTAAGCAGGCTCCATGCCCAGTGCAGAGCCCAATGAGGGGTTTGATCTCACAACCCTGAGATCATGACCTGAGCTGAAATCAAGAGTTGGACTCTTAGCCACCCAGTTGCCTTTGGAGTTTAGGATTCTTCACATAAATAATGAAATTTTAAATGTTAATATGACCACACTGTATATGCTTACTTGAAAATGTACAGAATTGTTCTGAGATACATTAAAGGTTATTTTACGTTTTGGTAGATTTTGTAAAAATTACCATACAAAAAGCTTTACTAATTCTTGTTCCATATATTTGTGACTGCCAATGCCCATCTCCGTATGTTATCTTTGACAATGGATGTTCTGTTTCCAATTTTTGCCAATCTGTTGCAAGGAAAACATTTTATTAGTATTCGAATTTGCATTTCCATGATTCTTACTGAGGTTGAACATTATATGTTTACTGATCAGCTATATTTCTTCTCCTGTGAGTTGCTTGTTTATAAAAATAAATATAATTTGCCTATTTACAAACTGTCTTTGCCCAGTTTTTCTTTATGTATTTATCTTTTTCTAATTGATTTTTGGGAATTATTTATTTATAATGGGTAGTAATCCTCTGTGGTATGTGTTTTGCATATATCTCTCTGTAACTTTCCTATCTTTCAATGTACCAAGTTTCTTAACGTATATAGAGTCAAATGTTCTTTCTCTGTCTCCCAAGATTATGTGAAAGATTGTCTTAAGCCATATAGGGAAAGAATGATACATTTGACTATATAAGAAAATATATAATATATATTTCTTAAGACATATTATATAAAATATATATTGTACATTTATGTAGATAAAAATATATAGGTGTACATCAAATACTCTGTCTACATATCTATATACAGAAAATACTGTTTCCAGTGGGGTTTTTTTTTATTTAGTTTTTGTTTCCTCACCTCAACAACCCACGGAGTGGACACTATCTATTACTAACCCACTTTACAAATAATAAGACTGAGGGACACGTAAGTTAGGACTTAGCAGCCTGCCACCTGAGCCCACACGCTTAGTCAGTACTTCATGTTGACTCCATACAACATCCTCTCTATATATCACAAAAGCAACAAAAATTAACACAATGTGATAAAGGCACAGAAACAGCCATTATAGATAAAAACAGATAACACACAAAAAAATCATTTAACATAGAGAAGCTGAGGAACTAGAGAACACAAAGATTTCTCATAAATGATGCTGGAAAAACTGCATTATTTTAAGTCAGTTTAAGTCCACTTTTCACATCATCCACCCAAATAAAAACTAGAAGGGAAAAAAAAAAATCCCTTAAAAGAGGATAATAGGTCTCTAAGGTAAGAAGAATCAAGAAAAAAAGATGGACAGTTCGAACTATGTAAAAATGTTAAAGGGCTGCATGTTTTTTTTAAAAATTCATTTTAAAAAGGTGACCAGTAGGCTGGGAAAAATAACTGACGAAAGTATTGCAGATAAATCTTATCAAAAACCTACATAAACTAGCAAAAAAAAAAAAAGCATTAAGATCCTAACAGATGAGCAAAAGAGACAGTACAATTTGTAAACACACATGTGAAAAAACCGTTCAACCTAATTATATTAAAAGAAATGCAAAATTACAAAGGGCTTCTGTTTTGCCTATTTTTTTAAAAATGATATCACCGTTGGTGGAGTGGATGAAATCAAAGGAGCATCTCACACAAGAGTGTTGATAGAGAGTAATTCAGCACTGTTAAAATAAATGTTCATGCTCCTTCTACCTAGTAATCCCATGTCTGAGAATCTACTCTACAGATATGATCCAGAAACCTGGGGAAAATCATACGGACAACGTAGTTACTGAAAGGGGCCCCTGAAATATTATTCATAATAGCAAGAAAACAAACAATGAAAAAAGAAAACAACCCAATTTTTAAGAACAGGGAATATTAAGTAATTTATGGAACAATCACTGACTAGAACATCATACACCATTAAAAATAATCATGAAACTAATAACATTTAAAAAAATCCTATGCCATAATATCTAGTTGTACAAGTAGAAAGAAATATAGAAATTTTAAGTTGTTTGAGGGGGTGGGGTTAAGTCACTATTTTCTCTAATTTCTCAATTTACTGTGGATTTAGAAATACCTGAGTCCCAATCCCAGGTGCACCACTCCACCGAGTTACAAAATCCTTCTATGCCTCAGTTTCCTTGCCTATAAAGGGAAGACCATAAATGTAGCCACTTCGTGGGAGTGTCTTGAGAATCAAATGAGAGAACTTGACCGCTGTGCCTATCACCTATCAAAAATGTTGTTCTTGGGCGCCTGGGTGGCTCAGTTGGTTGGGCGACTGCCTTCGGCTCAGGTCATGATCCTGGAGTCCCGGGATCGAGTCCCACATCGGGCTCCCTGCTCGGCGGGGAGTCTGCTTCTCCCTCTGTCTGACTCTCTTCCTTCTCGTGCTCTCTATCTCTCATTCTCTGTCTCTCAAATAAATAAATAAAATCTTTAAAAAAAAAATGTTGTTCTTGTCATATGACAAAGTGTTAACATGTTTGTGTGGGGGGGGCGCTGAAATGAGGAAGCTACTTCATACACATAGTGTCTATTTTCACTTGAAAGTTTAGTATAGTTAATTTTGTGCTCCCTCTCCTTTCATGGGTTTCTCCTGCTTAGACAACACTTACTTGTAAACCCACTTACCGATGGGAATATTAAAGGGAGTGAAACATCTACTCTCAACTAGAACCATGTAAAGATACATCATCTATGGGCTCAGTGGTAAAGGAACAAAACAGAGCCATATTAGTCCTGCAGTAGAAGCAGCAAACGTGTCTTTTTTACCTTTGCATTCTAAGGAGAGGGGGAAAATCACATTGTTCGAGTAAACTTAAAACATCAACTTTCTGCATTACTGAGCTAAATATTTTATTCTAACAAGAAATCAGAGGAAAAAGGGAAAAAAACCCTAAAAACTTCATTTCTAGAAAATAGAATGGTGAAGAGACATTTCAAAGTAGCCTGTGCCTTTGGCTGGGGCGAGGGCAGGGGTGGGGCCTGGGGGGATGGTTAGTGCAAAATACTGTCTAAACAGAAACCATATAATAAGTAACTTCCTAGAAAAGCCTCTATCTTTGTCATATCTTTGAAGTTCTGCCATATAGGCCTCATAAGCACAATGTTTGGCCCAGATACTAAGCTCTGGGACATTATCAGGCCCTCTGCAAGATGGGAGGGCATACTCCACAGTACTGATCTTCAAGGGGAGAGGGCTCTAGAACCTTCCGGGGGGGCCTAAGAACCAGTCAACTGGGTGGTTCTCTCCACGGGACTTCATACGTCCCACTCTTGGCAAAAAGAATGCACAGAAGCAGCCCTATTCGCCTTGGTTGTGAAAACAGATCTCCACTCCACACTCCACACCCACAGAGAGGATTTCTTTTCCCAAAAAACTATACATTAACTTAAAGTCAGCATTAATGATCTTTACTTTGCAAGATGAAAAAAGTAACAGGCAGGGAAAAAAGACTATTTTTTCAAGATGTCAGAAGGTGAGTTTCAAATTCATTTTTAACCCCCAGAAAGCATGTATGTAGCATTAACTTATGTAGTCCTTGAATCACATACACACACACAAAATGTGTTCATCAGGCCTTAGTCATATCAGGATTCACTGGGTATGTTACACATTATACCTAAAGCAGAAGAACCTCTTCCCCCGGAGAGTTATTCTTCTAAGATTTTCCATCCCCATCTTAAATAATAACCAACTATGTACTTACTGCAAAGGCTTTGGCTTCTCGTGCCTCCCGGGAGCTACTGACCTCAATCAGCAAGTCAGCCGCACTATTCTGGGGTTTGGTGCTGGCCAGGGAGGAAAACCACACTCAAGGGGCCTGGGCAGTGAGCATTTGAGCAATGCTTCACTCAGGAAGCAGGCGGGCTCTGGGCTCCAAGCTTCTGACAGCCTCCCTCCAACCCCTCCCCGCTCCCTCTCCCTCCCTCCCTCTTGATCTCATGATCTCTCTCTCTCTCTCTCTCTATCTCTCTCTCTCTCTCACACACACACACACACACACACACACACACACACACACACACACACCAACAGTGCAAAATCACTTCTATCCCACTGGTTCCTGAATACTTAATTTGTACCTCTCTAGAACATAAGGATTTAAAGACACAGGCTGACTAGTTTCTTGCTGTTTCAAACCTGAGATACCAAACAGAAAAAGAAGAAGAACAAGAAAAAGTCAAGCTGTCTTCAAAGGTGAGTTTGCCCTGAAACCTCAGGGCCCCTCACTTGCCATAACCTGTGGGTTGTTCTAAGTGGGATAGGGAAGCCAGGTTATGATCAGGAAGCATTTCAAAGCCGGCAGTTCTAGTGAGCTGACTAAAAACGTTCTCAGAGATAAAGCATCTAAACCTCCAAGCCGCTGGTAATTTGTTGTAATTTCCTTTTTTCATTCTAAATATTTTCATACCTAATTTTGAATTCAGAGAGTTTCCAAAATTATATGAGCACTCTCGCAAAACCTGAGGTCCACGTTCCCTGCTACTATGGATGGTCTACACGCCCTAATGACGAGGAGATCACCCGTAAAAACATGGAAGAAATTCGTGAAGGTAAACAAGCAACATGTGTTCTATCTACACTCACAAAGAACTGCAGTCATCGGGGCTAGGCTGGGCTTAGTCACTGCCATAAGTTGGAGTTTACTTGCGATTTTACTGGATAATAGGTGTGAAAAGTGGCCAAGTATCTCTTACATGGCAGAGAGCTCTTACTTAGGAGGCAGTATGAGTTTGCAGAGCCTCCGGGACACTGAATCCACCCCTCATAGGCAGACTTTGCCTCTCTAATGGCAGATCACAGTAAGGACCTGTAGTCATGCAGCTTAGAGCTGGCCATCCCCTGTGAGAGCTGTTATTACAATGGTGGCCCCATGCCACCCTGGCAAACGCTGCTACCTTTGGTGGCCTTCTCTCTTTGCCTTAAAGAAAGCAAGAGACACAATGCATGGGACCTGTTCTCACTGAAGAATATCCACCTTCCCGGGGAATAAAGGGACCTAACTCATCCGGGTGCCCGACCCCTGGGCACAGCACCATGGCAGAGACAGGAGATGGTGTGGTTGGGACTCTGCAAGTGACAAAAGTCCCAACCCAACCTCGCTTAAGCAAAAGAGCAAATTTATTGGCTTGACTAACTGGAAAGTCTAGGGATGAATTCAAGCTGGCTTTAAGCCAGGAGACCTGGAGTTTCCAAAGTCATCAGGAATCTGCTTTCATCACCTTTCAGCTCTGCTTCCCCAAGTTTGATGCATTCAAATATGGTGCTCTTGGGATGGGAAAGCCTTTCCCAGTAGCATTCCATGATGAGAAGTCTGTGGCATTCAAGACCAAGAAGATAGGCACTCCTCAGAAAAGAAACCTCAGCGTGAGACACTGTCCAGCCCCGTGGCAAGGAAGGACCTGGGTGACTGACAGCCCCTCTAGTTATAAGAAGAGCAGTCCCTAAAAGCAAAAAAAAAAAAAAAAAAAAAATGCTGGACAGGCAAAAAGATACAAGCTAGTGCCTTAGATTAAGCCTTTCATGTGATTGCGTCTTAATTTCCCAATTAGACTGTAAATCTATTATCAGAAGGACGTACACAAAGTGTTAAGAGTGGGCTATCTGAGTATTGTGGATCATTTATTTTTTTAAATTCACACTGTATCTTCTAAATTTTCTAAAAATAATAAAAATTATTAAATTGTACAATAACACAATACATCAAAATAAGTTATTGTATGCTAAACAAATCCTGCTTACAAGCAAAAATATGTATAGAATATCTATGAATAAATCTGGTAAAGAAATTACAATTGCCCCCCAAAAATCTACATTTTACTGAACAACAGAAGAGAGGACTGCATTAAAAAACATACCATGATATTCCAATGAGATATTCATTCTCCACAAAATAATTATATACATGTATTGTAATTCCAACAAAAATTCTAACAGGATTAAGAGGTGTGAAAAACTGCTTTATAAAACTATCCTAAAATGCACCTGGTAGAATAATTGATTCTTCTCTATAAAGGATATAGAATAATTTATTCTTCTCTGTAGAAGAAAATTATTGAAAAAATATGAAAAGGGACTTGTACTGCCAGATATTAAAAACAGACCAGAGAAGTAAAATAATTGCAATGTTGTGGTTCAGGAATAGAAACATCATCAATGGATCACAACAAAACCCAAAAATAAGAATCAAGATAAAAATAACATTACTAATCTGAGGATAAAAAATGGATTGTTTTTAAAAATGGCACTGGGAAAATTGGCTAATCATTTGGGAAAAAAAAAAGACTCCTACCTCATACCGTGTCCCCAAATGATTTCTGATAGAATAAAAATTTAAGTGGCAAAAAAAAAAAAGAAGAAGCATTATCAGAACTAGAAGGAAAGAGAGGAGATTGTATATCTGAACAAGGTGAGAAAGGTCTCTCTGAGCCCACATACAAAGGCAGAATACATAAAAAAAGAAACAGATTTGACTTTGAAAATAAAAAACCTCTGCAAACAATGAAAATCCTATAAATAAAACATAAATGCCAATGACAAAATGAGACAACCATCTCTGCACAACCTTTGGTTCAGTTATTCCATTTGTAGGAATGTATCCTATGAAAATAATCATGAATGAATGCAAAGCTGCATGTGCAGGAGTTATAAGCTTATCCTTGATTGTAACAATGACAATAAAGTAAATAATTAAAAGTCTAATTGGTTACATTATGGTATATCCATGTAATTAAACATCATGCAGCCATTAAAAGTGATAGTATATCAATACTCCCTATGACATAGATGTAAAAATCCTTAACAAAATACCAACAAACCAAATCTAGCAACATATATAAGGGATTATATACCATGACCAAGCGGGGTTTATCCCAGGAATTCAAGGTTGGTCCAACATATGACAACCAATCAATGTAATACACCATCCTAATAGAACGAAGGACAAAACCACAGGATTGTCCCAATAGAGGCAGAAAAATCATTTCACAAAATCCAATGCACTTTCATAATAAAAATATTCAATAAACCAGGAATAAAAGGGAAACTCCTCAACCTGATAAAGGGCAACTATAAACATTACATTTAATGGTGAAAATCTGAAAGCTTTCCTCTAACATCAGAAACAAGATAAAGGGCAACTATAAACATCACACTTAATGGTGAAAATCTGAAAACTTTCCTCTAGCAACAGAAACATCTCTGCTCTAAAAAAAAAAAAAAAGAAAGAAAGAAAAAAAAGAAAAGAAGAAGAGAAACATCTCTGCTCTCACCACTTCTGGTTAGCGTTATATTGGAGTCTTTGGCCAGGGAAATTGGGCAATAAAAAGAAAGGCATCCAGATTGGTAGGAAAAGTATAACTATCCCTATTACCTAATGATCTTCTATGTAGAAAATCTCAAAAACAATCTATAACAAAACAGAGCTAATAAACTTGTTCAGCAAGGTCACAGGATACAAGATCATTATATAAAAATCATTTTCAATTCTATACATTTGCAATGAACAATCCAAAATATTAAGAAAGCAATTCTATTTACAATAACACCAAAAGGAAAAGAATACTTAGTAATATATTTAACAAAATACATGCAAGAGTTGTACACTAAAAACTATAAAACATTGAAAAACATTAAAGAAGTGTTAAATGGACAGACATCTCATGTTCATGTATTTTACGACTTAAGAGGGCAATACTCCTCAAATTGATCTACAGATTCAATGCAATCCCTATCAAAATTCCAGTTGCTCTTTTTACAGAAACTGACAAGCTAATTCTATAACTCATATGGAAATGCAAGGGACTCAGAATAATCAAAACAATCTTGATAAGGACAATGAAGTCGAAAGATTCACACCTCCAAATTTTAAAGATTTTATTTATTTATTTGAGACAGAGAGAATGAGAGAGAGAGAGAGAGCGCGCACATGAGAGGGGGGAGGGTCAGAAAGAGAAGCAGACTCCCTGGCGAGCAGGGAGCCCCATGCGGGACTCGATCCAGGGACTCCAGGATCATGACCTGAGCCGAAGGCAGTCGCCCAACCAACTGAGCCACCCAGGCACCCCACACTTCCCAATTTTAAAACTTACTACAAAGCTATCACAATCAACACTGTGTAGTATTGACACAAGGACAGACATAGGTAGATCTGTAAAACAGAACTGACAGTCCAGAAATGAACCCATACATTTGTGGAAGGTGATTTTTCACATGAGTGCCAAGACCATTCAATGGCGTAAGAATAGTCTTTTCAATAAATGGTGCTGGGGCAACTGGATATCCATATACAAAAGAATGAAACTAGACTCCTATTTCATATCATATACAAAATTACCTCAAAGATGTAACAGCTAAAAATATAAAAATCTTAAAAGAAAACCTAAGTGTAAAACTTCATGACCTTGTTTTCTTATGTTTTCTTAGAGATATTAAACACAAGCAACAAACAAAAAATTATATGAACTGGCCTTTATAAAAATTAAAAACTTGGGGGTGCCTGGGTGGCACAGTTGGTTGAGCGACTGCCTTCAGCTCAGGTCATGATCCTGGCGTCCCGGAATCGAGTCCTGCATCCGGGTCCCTGCTCAGGAGGGAGTCTGCTTCTCCCTCTGACCCTCCTCCCTTTCATGCTCTCTGTCTCTCATTCTCTCTCTCAAATAAATAAATAAAATATTTTAAAAAAATTAAAAACTTTTGTGCTTCAAGGGGCAGCAAAAAGATAACCCACATAATGGAAGAAAATATTTGCAAATCATATATCCAATATATGGGTCTGTTCTCCAGAACGTGTAAAGAACTCTTGCAACTCAATAATAAAAGGACAAATAACTAACAAATGGGCAAAGGATTCAAACAGACATCTCTCCAAAGAAAACATAAAATATACAAATGGCCAATAGAGATAGGCAAATCAAAGCTACAATGTTCACCTGCTAGTGATGGGTACAGCCAAACAGATGATAACAAGTGTTGACAAGGATGTGGAGAAATCAGAACCCTCATTCATTGTTTGTGGGAACATAAAATGGTGTGACCACTGTGAAAAAACAATTTGGCAGTCCCTCAAAAAGTTAAGCACAGAGTTACCATTACGGCCCACGATTCTACTCCTTGACCCTAAAAAACTGAAAATAAGAATTCAAACAGAAATCTGTACATGAATATTCATAGTAGCACTATTTGGGATAGCCAAACGGTGTGGGGGGAAAACCCAAATATTCATCAACAGATGAATGGATAAACATAATGTACATCCATACAATGGGATATTATTATCAGTAAAAAGGAATAAAGTAAAAAATAATAAAGGAACGAAATGCTCATACATGCTACAACATAGATGAACCTCGAAAATTTTATATTGAGTGAAAAAAAACAGACACAAAAAGCCACATACTCTATGGGTACATCCATATGAAATTTCCAGAATAGGCAAGTCATAAACACAGAAAGTAGATTAGTGGTTTCCATGAGATGAAGGGAGGGGCACAAGGGGGGAGTGACTGCTGACAGCTCCAGGATTTTTTTGGGGGGGTAACGAAAATGTTCTGGA